TGGAGAATGTCCACTCGCCTCACAATGACACCCTCGTCATCAAGGTTCAAATCTCTAATGCCCTAGTCAGCCACGTCCTAGTCGATAACGGCTCAGGAGTAAGCGTCATCTTTAAGGATGCCGCTGAAAAGATGGGGATTCCCGACAACATTAACAAAAGGAAGACAACCTTTCACACCTTCAATTGTGCACTTGTGTGATCTCTGGGAGCAGTAAAGATAGTGGTCCAAGAAGAACCTTATAACCACCTAGTAACCTTCCACATAATGGATTGCCCGACTCCCTACAATGCATCCTTTGTCAAAATTAGTTACATAAAATGAAGTTTATTCCATCCAGCTACTACCAGTTACTTCAATACCCAGGATAGCGGAGTAAAAGAAATAAAATGAGATCAATTGCCAGCACGTTGATGCGGTCTCGAAAGCATGAGCATGATTAGAAAAGAAGAACGAAGCTCCAGTACCTGTATGGATGAATTAGCATAGCAATCACAGTCAGGAGGTCAACATACAAGTTATAAAGAATTTGACCTGGATCTTGACCACCAAAAGGATAGTACATTGGAGTCAAAGGCAGATAAGAACACTATGTACATCAACCTCGACTCTGACAGATTGGATCGGAACCGGCTGAGAGAAAATGTTATTCACCAACTTCTTCCAGGCTAACAAGACATATTTTTTTGGTTGGTAGAAAACATGCTCGAAATCGATCTATCTGTGATCTACCACAGTCTTTATTTAGACCCAATTGCCAGCCAGTTATCCAGTGTAAACAAAACCATGGAATAGAATAAAGTAACATCATAGAGGTGGAGATTGATAAGCTCAAAAATGTCCAGTTTATCATCGAAGTTTACCACCTAGACTGGGTAGCAAATGTAGTGCTAATGCAAAAGAAGAATGGAAAGTGTAGAGTATATGTGGATTTCATAGAGTGCAGAGTATGTGTAGATTTCATGGACTTGAACAAAGCTTGCCCGAAGAATCCATATCCACTCCCACAGGTCGACCTCTTAGTAGATTCAATCGTAGGACATAAGCTCCTAAGCTTCATGGACGCTTACTCAGGGTACAACCAAATAAAGAATCTGTATCCATTGTCATTGACTGAGGTATGTACTGCTATAAAGTTATGCCCTCTGGACTTAAAAACGCTGGGGCAACATACCAGCGACTCATCATTCTAATCTTTAAGGATAAGATCAAAGACACGATGGAAATCTATGTGGACAACATGGTTGTCAAAAGCAAAGATAAGAAGAACCACATGACACATGTGCAAAAGTCGTTTGACCTGCTTAAGAAGTACAACATGAAGCTAAATCCAGAAAAGTGTACCTTCGAAATAAAATCAGACAAATTCTTGGGATACATGGTTACTAAGCGTGGAATTGAGGTTAAACCATACCAAAACAAGGCCATCATAGAAATGAAGTCGCCTAGAACCATGAATGAATTACAAAGCCAACAGGGCGAGCGACATCCCTCAATAAATTCCTTTCATGATCTACCAACAAGTGCAAATCGTTCTTTATTGCAACAAAGAAGAGCAAGGGTCTACTCTGGACTAATGAATGCGAATAAAGCCTTCACGAAACTCAAAGAATACATCTAAACCCCTGCAATGAATGGGAGCATTGGTTTAAATCTTAATTGACGAATTCACCCTTCCCTGCAGCACCTTAAAGCACAAATTCATCATAACAATAATTTGCATTGTGGGTGCAGCTCATATCATATAAAAGGAATTGATTGATTGGAGCTTATTAAAGTTTGAGCCTTTAGACCATCTCCAACGCAGTTTAAGCTCATAAACGTCACTTTCCAACAATGCGCACTGCTCCTTCATTTAATCACCAGAAAATAATCGCTTGGTAGAAAAATTCCAAATTTTGATACGAACAAGATAAGGAATACATGAACGTCCTCAAATTTGAATCACTTTAAAATTCGTTAGTTTGTTCAGGTTTTGCTCCAGAGGAAGTCAAATGTCCTATGGTGAAAATATAAAGCAAAGTATCAAAATTCTACCAAAATAATAAAGTAATACTAAGAATAGGGTAAAATATATATAATAAAATATTGACTCATCAAGAACCATAGGCATAATCTCATCGTGCAAGCAGTGATCACCCATCACAGATATACCAAGCATGATCACCCCTAACAGTCCCATAGCGCGGATATACCAAGCAGGATTATATCCTATAGCTTTAGGTAGTGATCACCAATCACGGATATACCAAGCAGGACCATCCATGTACCATTGCTACATGGTACAGTAAATTCAACACATAACCTACCCATACCTTAACCCCTATGAGTTACAACGTAGTCACCTACACCATCAATTTCTCATGGCCACCAACTACTATGTCACACAAGCATATAAGTTCTACAGAATACTTACATGTATCATACTTATTAGTCACATTATTAAGAAGATAAATAAACACATATATATCATAATATGACGTCTCATACACTTAAACAGATGTATATATTATCGGGGATAACTCACTAACCAATATAGGCCCACTAAGCCCTACATAGTCCCTAGTAATACTGATTTTAATATTTAAGATCAATTTGTAGCTTATTGACCAAAAGTCGAGTCTTTGTCAAAAGTAGGGTCCACAACCCTATACAAGTCAATCTAGAACATCCTCCCATGGATTTCCAAGCCGTAACTTCCCAAAGGTCTCATTTATCTTCTCGAACAATATTCTAAAATTTCGGAACGATCTAACGATCGGATCTCGGCCAATTGCTAGAATTAGGTTGCCATCAACGTTTGGTTTTACAAACTTATAAATTCAATTTGGAAAGATCCATATGTCGTATTCCTGATCCGTAAGTTCCTAATGTCCTTAAATATTACGTACTATCACGTATTAAAGTTTGGTTTCGATCCAACAATCGGATAGTCAATTCATATTATAACCAAGTGGCGGCCATCTAGGCGGTCAACTACAAAACTATATTTAAACATCGAGATTTCACTAAATGGATGTCAAATATGGAATCGAAGTATCAAATTTAGCCTAGGATGGGTAGGTCGAGTCTCAGCCCGCACTCCCCCGCCACTCGTCGGCCGGCCATCCCGACTCATTTAAAATTCAACTATTTCCAAAATTTATCAAATTTCATATAAATGTATAGCCAATCAAGGGGAGCAATTTTCATACCTGGGCCAAAGTCCAATTCGGCCAGGAAACCCTCTAAAGTCCCTCAATCCGTCGGAAACCCTAAAAAGGATGGCCTTCGATCCATCGCCTCTGGTGCTCCACCACCCCTACAATTGTGTGAGCTTTGTTCCTGAGGTTAAGGGGAGCCTTTTGGTGGTGGTGGTTGATGGAGTTACATTCGGACTTAATGAATCGCCGCCATACACCTATACGCACCCACCGTCGGTTTTTCACCAAAACTACAACCAAATTCTTTCTAATTTTGGGTGAAAATGGAAGAGGGAATGCTAGGAAGTTGTTTCTATGTGATGATTTGCCGTGATTCGCTGTGAAACGTTGTGAATGGCATTAGGAGAAATGGAGCCGTCGTCGGGTTAGGTTGCGCCAGAAACGGGTCGAAGGCAGGTCTGGTTCGCTAGGTCTCTCCCCCTCATCTCCCCTCCCAGTTCTCTTTTCCCATTGGTCTTCTCTTTCTTTCCCATTCCCTCATTGGCCCATCTATTCCCCCCATCTCTCAGTTTCTCTCTTTTCCTTTTCATCTCAGCCGTCCATCTCTCTCATTTCTCTTATTTTCCTTTCATCATCTGAAGCATTCTAGATTATGGTCAAATGACCATTTTGCCCATATCTTGGTTCGTTTATATCTCATTTGATATAACTCCAATTTACGTTCTGTTTGCGCCCACGCGTTCGTATCGACACATACTATCTAGATATGAAAGAAATTTGAAAAATTATGAAAATATCAAGTGCGTCCACAAAAGAATCTCGTTTAACACAATAGGGGCAATTTTGTCCTTTTACTTATTGAATAAATTATACGCCGTAAACATAAATGCGTCAAAACTACGAATATGAATACTACATATGAGATACATAATTTTAAATAGTGAAATCCAGGAATGTAATTTCACATTATGGCTTAGGGGACCTTTCTTTATCAATTTTGTTTGATTTAAGTTATGCAATCTAGCTTGTTGCTTGCCTCACTGTAGGCTTTCGTGTATCTTATTGACATCTTTGCCCTGAAATGCAATTCCTAATTTTCCAAAATAAATAAATACAGAGCTATGCAAATACCTTCCCATTTCAAATAAATATCCTCCCAATTGGTACCATTCTATTTCTAGGTGTGGGAAAAAACAGAAAAACCTATCCCACGTGGACAAATCTGGCATCTACTATGCAAGAGACTAGGCGGATGCTAGGGAAAAACAAGAAATTTCACCATCTCTGACTTCACTGAATTTAACACGATAAATAGATTTGATCTGTCTCCTTATGGAGAGTCTGGAGTGGAGTGGATAATATCATAAAAAAAAGAAATCACATACAACACAAAGAGAGCTGAAAGAAACACACACAGAGACTGAGAGAGAGAAGGGTGGATGGTTGGATTCACGAGCTGTAGGATCCTGACGCCCTCTGAAACACCAATCAGTCTGCTAAAACACCCAGATATTAAAAAATATAAAGATTAAAGCTTTGATTTTTTTGACAAACATCGGATAAACCCCCATTTCTGAGGTGGGTGGGAGCTTCACGGGGACGAACCCATCTCAGTCTTTTTCTCCACCCACCACCTTTTCCCATCAATCCAGTGGTCCAGGCGCTGCCACCGCACCTCCACCACCGCTCCTTCGGTTAGTTTGATCACTGCTTTGCCCTTCCCATTTCTTTCTCTCTCTCTAACATTAGAGAGAGAATCAGAGAAAGCTCAACGTGTGGAAGGGCTTAATTGGGTTTTTGTTTTTTGGGTTTTTTCAGAGGGTGTTGGTGTATATAGAGGGAGGGAGAGAGGAGAGATATGAATCGGTCTGTGCTCACAGTTGGGCCAGCCATGGACATGCCGATCATGCACGACAGCGATCGGTACGAGCTGGTTCGGGATATTGGGTCGGGAAATTTCGGGGTTGCACGGCTTATGAGGGACAAGCAGACTGGTGAGCTTGTTGCTGTGAAATACATAGAGAGAGGTGAGAAGGTTAGTCTCTCGATTTTACTCTTCTTTTCATATATATATATATATCATTTTTGGAAATGGGGTTTGAAGCATGAATCATTTGTTGAAATTGAGGAGTTGATTGCTTTTTTAGATTTTTTTTCTTTCTATAAATTATTTTGTTTTTAGGTGAAGGTTGATGGGTTTTCTAGTTTCTGGTTGATTTGTTGGTTCGGTTTCCTTTTGTGATTGTTTGCAGGTGTTAGAAAATGTAATATGTTTTTGGATTTCAGGATTATGGAGTTTATGTGTATTTCGAATGGGAGTTTGTGGAAGTTGATTATCTGTTCTTTCCTACTGAAGTGTCTTAAACTGGGTTGGTTTTAGTTGGATTCAAATACAAGTGCTCAAGATTGTGTTTGGTTTTAGTTGGTTTCTTTAGGTTGTCAAGTTCAGCTTTTTACCAAACATTTAACAGACGGCCCGTGTTACACAATCCTGAGCACTTGAATCTAAACCAACTATTGTTATGGAGATTGTCTGCTGAGTGGGAGGACTTAGCTTTTGGGGACATGATAATTGAAATTTTACAGATGTTTGTTTTCTTCCATTTTCCCAGTTTGTTGGTTTGTAATCTCTCTTTGGAATGAATTGAACTCCCCAGTGTGGTGTGGTGTGATGTGATTAGATAACATGAGAATTGTTAGATGTTTAAAGAATCAACAAAATTAGCATTGTTTTCTATTCTCTAACCTTGTATGCATAGTAAAGCCACTCCGCTTGAAAGAAACTTGTAAGGAACTGGCGACTAATTTTGAGTTCCACTCTGTCTACTCACTTAAATATGTATCCAGATAATAATATTAAACCATGAGCACTTAACAAGGTTTACTGTAGACTTTGATCATCTGGGCATTGATGCCAGTTGAGGACTGCAGACTAATGGTTCTCATTAGTGAATCAGAAGGAGAAAGACTATGGCTTGATGGGTTTTAACAATCGTATGCAGACATTCTTTTCTAAACCACTTAATGAACAATTTTATTTTATCTTCTTCTTATCCATGGTGTGCTTGAATCTTGAATTTGATCTTATAAATAGTGATATAGGCAGCAAATGTTACTTGATTAAAATCGTTTGATCAAAAAAAAAAAAAAAAAAAATCTTTTATTTATGCAAAGATAAGATTTTACTTTCGCGTTATGGTTGGTATTGATTGTTGTAGGGCTTGGTAATTCCAATTAATATTCTCTTTTCATTGTTGGTTTACCCTACTTCTATACTTTTGTCTAACAGATAGATGAAAATGTACAAAGAGAAATTATAAACCACAGGTCATTGAGGCATCCGAACATTGTCCGGTTCAAAGAGGTCTGTTAACTATGAACATCTAAACACAAATTAATTTCACCATGGAACTCAGTTTCGTTACTATGTGGTTGTAGGTAATATTAACACCCACTCATCTGGCTATTGTGATGGAATATGCATCTGGGGGAGAGCTCTTTGAGCGTATATGCAACGCTGGGCGTTTCAGTGAGGATGAGGTTCTTATCCACTACATTGATTTAGTTTCTGATAACGATTCCTACCTATTTCTAATGTACTTGTGTTGCAGGCGCGTTTCTTCTTCCAGCAACTTATATCAGGAGTCAGTTACTGTCATGCAATGGTATGGGAATACGTTGCCCGTCTTCATTTATTTTTTTTTTATACCTTCTAGATTTCTGAATTGGATACATTTTTTTGTATTTCTTTATGAAGCAAGTGTGCCACCGGGACTTGAAGTTGGAGAACACATTGTTAGATGGAAGTCCAGCTCCTCGTTTAAAAATATGTGACTTTGGCTACTCTAAGGTACTACACACACACACACTCTCTCTCTCTCTCTCTCTGTGTCTTTTCATGCACAGTGACCTTCATTTCGCAGGAGTCCGGTGCTAAATTATGAAATATCTCTGGTGATTAAACTCAACAGAAATGTGTTTGGAAAATGCATGTTCTGTGCTTTTCTTTAACTGGTAGATACTACACAGGAATTAGTCTGCCTCTTTACTCTTGGATGAATATTTTTTATCATATCCATCTAATTAGCCTTGGTCTCTTTTTTCCAGTCCTCAGTGCTGCATTCACAACCAAAATCGACCGTGGGCACCCCTGCATATATTGCACCTGAGGTGTTACTCAAGAAAGAATATGATGGAAAGGTAATAGTACTCATTTGTATTTATTGGCTTTATTTGTTCCACTTTAATTTATCCGTGCCAATTCTTTGCAAAGTCATTGCACTGCGTTACTTATTTGTATTTGCATATTTTAAACTTACGTGAAGACTTTCTGGAAAATAACTTAGCTTACAACTTGTTAATTGGTTTGTCTAACCTTATATATTCCCATCCCTTAATTTTTTTTTTTTAAACAAATGATATATCTACACTAAGGGGGATAGGGGTGGGCTTAGCCTCACAATGGGCTAGCAATAATGGGGTTCAAATTCACCTTTGGCAAGAATCGAACCTAAGGCCTCTCACTTACAAGTGTGGAGGAATACCACTAGACCGTAGTAATAAGTGGCACTCCCATCCTATAGATTGATGCTGGCAATTTGATTATTCACCACTCCCACGAAAGTTTCAGTGTTGGAATTCAATCCTGCATAACTGATCCTGTATTTTGCAATGATAATTTGTCGGTGCCATAAATACTCTGCATTTCTGCACAATCATGCTAATAGTCTCCATTTTGATCTACCTTTCCAGATTGCAGATGTATGGTCTTGTGGGGTGACCTTATACGTCATGTTGGTGGGTGCATATCCATTTGAAGATCCTGGGGAGCCTAAAAACTTCCGCAAGACAATACACGTAACTTTTTTAACCTTATTTCCTACTGAAACTTGGAAGCTTAACTCGAGTCTAAGGTTTTTCCTCTTGTGCAGCGGATAACGAATGTCCAGTACTCTATTCCTGACTATGTTCATATATCTCCGGAGTGCCGCCATCTAATATCAAGGATTTTCGTAGCTGAGCCCGAGAAGGTGCGTGATATTCTTTGTATTATACTTTAATCCGTAAATGCATTGCCGAATAAGTGGCATTTGCGTATAAAACTATATTTCTCTAAGCTTCACTAGCTAGTTTTGATTTCTGATTCGATTCTCATTGATTATTATTGTATGCAACAGAGGATAACCATCCCTGAGATCAGGAACCACGAATGGTTTCTAAAGAACCTTCCAGCAGATCTCATGGTTGAAAACACCATGAACAACCAGTTTGAAGAGCCGGATCAACCCATGCAAAGCCTTGATGAGATTATGCAGATAATTGCCGAGGCTACAATACCTGCGGCCGGGGCCAACAGTCTCAACCAGTATCTTGCTGGCAGCCTGGACATAGATAACATGGAGGAGGACCTCGAGTCTGATCCCGACATTGACATTGACAGCAGCGGAGAGATAGTCTATGCAATTTAATTGGTACAATGTCTTGCACCAACGGAGGGTTCGCCCTCGGCCTGTGTTTCTGTCTCTCCTTTTTTAGGGGCATGCTTCGTTTCATCTGGGTTCGAACCTAGCTCCACATCTTCAATGGCGGTACAGAGAGTGTATAACAGAAGAACAATACTATTTCATTGACTGTTGAACTTCTCTTACAAGCTACTATTTGTAGGATATTTCCAACTCTAACAACCTTGTAACTAACAAGTAATCAGCTATCGTACACTTGGCATCGTAAGATATCCTAACAATACCTCCCTTGAAACAGAACGTGTAAACAACAGAATGAACACAACAACAGTAATCACAGCAGCTATTACAACAACGCAAAACAAGACAAATCGCAAATGAGCAACTTGAGGAAACTTGAGCTTCAAGTCTTGGTATGATTTCAGGTAGCATCCTCCTTGGAATGATTTTTCCATTGAACTAGTACTTCAGTAGCAGCTGCATTACGCTTCTTGATCAACCTTCTTTCCAGAACAGCCACTAGAACATCTTGTAGGATACCAGAATCTGTTGTCATAGGCAGTGGTGCACTAGTCTGTACGTTGGTGCCCAAATGCTTCTTCAGACAAGAAACATCAAACACTGGATGTAGATCGGATGGCTTGTTTGAGAGTATGCCATAGTTCCCACCTTAGCTATAATTGGAAAAAGGACCATAGCTTGTTTGAGAGTATGAAATGCTTCTGTAGCTTCTGTGTTCCATTTAAAACCGTCCTTCTTAGTAAGAGCAATTATAGGACTGATAATCTTGCCAAAGCGAGGAATTAACTTTCTATAATAGCCTGTTAATCCCAAGAATCCCCTAAGAGCTATCACAGATGTAGGAATTTAGAGATGGAATCCAATTTAGTAGGACCCAAATATTCAACGTGAGATTTACCAAAAGCAAACTTACAATGTATGTTCTTTCAGAGTGTCAAAAACTATCCTCAAATGTTGCAGATGTAAGGACCACGAAACACTATAGATCAAGATATCATCAAAGCAAACAAGGATAAATTTTCTGAGATGTGTATAAATATTTCATTCATTAAACACTGAAAAGTGAGAGGGGCATTTGTCAACCCAAATAGCTTTACCAGAAATTCATAATGGCCATGATGTGTCTGAAATGCAGTCTTTTCTACATCATCACATTCTAATTTGGTGATATCATGCCCTTAGATCTAATTTTGAAAAGTATTGTGCACCAAGCAATTCATCAAGCAATTCATCAATAAGATGGATAGGAAACTTATCCTTGATAATGATATCATTGAGCCCTCTATAGTCCATGCACTTTCTCCAAGTACCCTCATTTTTTATGACTGAAATCATAGGTGAAGAATATGGACCTTTGCTAACTCGGATGAAACCAGCCTCCAAAAGTTCATGCACACACTTCTCTATTTCTGCTTTTTGAATAGGGTCATATATATAGGGTCTAGTATTGGGAGGTTTGCTGCCATCAATCAATAGAATTTGATGATCATGGATTCCGTGAGGAGGCAAAGTGCTTGGAGTGAGGAACACCATCTCGTACTCGTGCAATAGCTAATGTAGAGCCTGTTGTTGTTCAATAGAGATTCTAAGAGTGCTGATCCACTGACCCAAAATGCACTTGTTGAACTTCCACGGTTGCAGATTCAACTTGAAAGAGAACTGCACCCATTTTTGTTTCTTGGTTTGGTAACTTGTGTCCAAATGGCTCCTGAGTCTTTTAACCTATCCCAAATCTATAAAATTATGTGAACTCCTTGAGTCTATTAAGCTGTGACAAGACAATAAATCCAAAAACCTTCATGGTATTTATAGATGGAGGTGCTGGAGTCCCAAATAGTGCACAAGCAGTGATCTCAGGTTCTCCCTCATCTAAATCATTCTCTACTTCATTCTCCTTACCCTCTACATAGTCCTGCACATAAAATAATAACAATTGTTTCTTTTCACAACTATGGCCTCTAACATGTTTTTCTTACTACAATGTTCTTCCTACAATGTTCTACTACTTTTCTGGTGTTAATCTACTCACTTTTTTTGAATCTTGATCTATTCTCAGCCATAGTATTAGTGTTCACAATTTGTAAAGGTGGTCTAAAATTAGGCTGAATCACAAGAGGTATTTCACATCATGTCTGAGTTCTGCCTTCAATCCTCTGATGAAACAAGACTTAAGAAGTGATGGGTTGATATCCCTGGTACGATTTGCTAGAAGCCCGAATTCGATCACATAGTCTCGAAGAGTACCCACTTGTCGCAGTTTAACCAATGTCTCAGCTGAATCTTCTAATTCGGAGGGACCAAATTCTTGACATAGCACCTTTGTGAATTCTTCCCAACGGGGGTAGTTAGCCAAGCATCACGCCCATTGAAACCACCGTAAAGTTTCCCTTAGACTCCAATTTTACCTTCTTCGAATCCTCAATGTTGAAGAACTCAAATTAATGCTAAGCCTTAATAATCCACCCTAATGGATCATCACCATCATTGAATCGAGGAAAATCCATCTTTAAGAATGACGGTCTAGGTTGTTGTGGGTACTGTTGGCCACAATCTTGATTCTTGAAATTGGGAACCGAATTAGGATTCATTCCTTCTGGCATCTGTGGATTCAATGGAGTTGCCTTTGAAGATTCTCCCATAGATCCTCCATTGCCGCGGGCCATGAGTGACTGCAATTGAATAAGAATCAGTTCTTGGGTCATCTTGAATTCAGAGCGCAGTTCATCCTAGGAAACTTTGAACTCGTCGAATTAGAAACCCTTGTTTTCATGTTTTTCCGCCACGCTTGACGCGTCATACAACAGAGAAGGATTGAGAGGATTGAACGACTGGCTGATACTAATGTTAAAACCTAGCTCCAAATCTTCAATGGCTGTACAAATAGAATGTATAACACACAAGAACAATACTATTTCATTGACTGTTGAACATCTCTTACAAGCTACTATTTTTAGGATATTTCCAACTCTAACAACCTTCTAACTAACTAGTAATCAGCCACCGTACACATGGCACCGATGCCAACTGACAGTATCCTAACAATATCTGTATGTTTTGTTTTTGCCACCAATTGGCAATTACTAGTGCAAATATAAGCTTGGGTTTCTTCACAACATGTAAAAGCTGGAAAGAAAAGTACAATGAAAAAGGAAACTGAATGTCAGTTGACCTTGTGGAAACATAAGCTTGGTCTCCACTTTATTGTAGTTCAGTTTTTGTAGGACTGGTCCTTCCAAAGCAAAACACTCTATTCTTTCAGAACAAGTCCGAGCATCTCATCTAGAGCTTAGCTCCTACGGTGCCATTCGATCACAAATATTTCATGGACCTCGGGACTGAAAATATTACGAAATTAGATTAACATAAAACTAGTGATCAGCGACTCCTGGACTGCCGGTTGACGGATAACCACCACATCTGAACATAATAAACGGCTGTCTAACAAGATATTCCTACATTTGAACACTTAAAAGTATAATCTTCTGCAGCCACACAGATGGTACATGAGAGCAAATATCAAACCCCAAGAAAGAAAAAAAGAGAACCAAGTAAGAAACGACATCCTTAACCAGCTATAATATCAGATTTCAGAACTGATAGTCTCCGCTGCAGGGCCAACCCATCCCCATCTGAATTCTTTGTCACCGGTTCTTTCAGCTCCATAACCTGATGGCTCTTCGTATCCATTGGTTGGAAGCTCTGAATGCCCTTGTTGCCGATGCTGTGACTCTCCGTTTGTAGGAGGATTCACTGATGGAGCATAATGGATGTCTGGCTGATGGTACTCACCGTGTCCATATGCTGCGGGCTGAGATTCTGCAGAAGGGCCTTCAACCCCCTGCTGCCCTACATAACCTGCTTGGTAATAACCAGGATGTGGTTGGCCTGTGCTGCCTGGATGAGTGCATTATCCAGCTTGAGGGCTGGCTGTTGGCTGGCTGTAAGGAACTTGTTAAGGAGCCGAAGGCTGGGTACTTTGGGTAGCAGTTGCATCCCTGATGGATGGCACCGCAGGCGATCCATACCCTGAAGTTGCATATTGTTGCTGGTAATCAGATACCGGAGCTTGGCCTCCATAACTTGGTGGCTGCTGAGCATATGCCCGATCATAACCGTGGCTGGCAACATTAGGTGTTTGATTGTAGTTGAACCTAGGATTTTGAGGTTGTCCATAGTAATTGTATCCACTGCTGTCCTGAGGTGGTTGAGAGGTGCCTACTTGGTTTGATTGGTCCCAACCTTGAAGATAAGTTTTATATACCTTAAACTTCAATTCCTCTAATTCTGTCCATTTAAGTAATCTTGTTCTTGAGTTGCTCAAGCGCCACTTCAGCAGCAGACGGGTTTATATGTGTCGATTGCTTTGTTATTCCAGCAGCCTGAAAGTTATTTAAAATGAGATGTAAGTCCTGGTCTTGAATTTATTTTTTGATTTTCCGAGAGTGAATAGTTATTAATTGCCAAGTGACCTTTAACAGACCTTCAAAACGCTAGTACAGAGGCCTAACAATTTCTGTGCTAGTTGCAACTTCTCCTACTCAGTTCCTATAGCAGAAGTACTTGTATTATTAAGCATCAAACTATTGGTTGAGGGCACCTCTCTCTCTCTCTCTCTCTCTCTCTTTCTCTCTCTCTCTCACACACACACACACACACACACACAAACACACACAAAAGACAACACTAACCTTTAGTTTTGCACCAATCATTGCTCCTCATCAAAATCGACATAAGGGTTCCTCCCACAGGAAGCACGAAAACGAGCAAGCTCTTCCTTGACACGTGAAAGAATTAACTTCTGTCAGACAGAGCTTATCGCTAAGTTCTTCATTGTGTACTTTTAACCTTGTTATTTTCTAGGCAAAACCCACTCAGATTGAAATGGAATAGAATGATGGTAAAATAAAACAGAACCTGAGGTTAGCACTTCATTAGCAATTTGGTAATATCTTGCCTTCATTTTTGCATGATGATATGATGAATTCGCTGGTGGAGTTTTTGCTAACCAGACAGCTTATCCACTTCTCCTTCAAGTTCCATAACCTTCATTTTATGATTTACATTCTCCACCTACACACTAAATGTGGTAAGCAAACCAATAAAAAGGATGAACATTCACTTTAAGAAATAATATATCAAAAACAATCTCAATCTTCAGCATTTAATTTTCAGTTTAAAGTAACTGATCTCACTGCTTAAGTTTTTCCAAAGCAATTTGCACAGCTATGAGTTCAGCCTGTTTTCGGTCAATTTCCTCGAGCCACCTGGAATATCAGCATGCAGAAACTTGGACATATGAATGATAGAACAATTACTAACTTGATTCAGAAGTTTTGAGGTAATAGTTGCTCGGTCTTTCCTGAATGAATTCACTCAGTTGTTTTTCAGCTTAGCTACCTCCTGCTCCTGAATGAAAGACAAAAATCAAATATAAGAAAACACAAAACAAAAGTATCTATCCGAGTATCGGTATCAAAGCTGAATACCTTTTGTTGAGATTCCACCCTATGAAGCTGAGCCTTCTCCGTCATTTTCTGCACTTGTTGATAATCCAATAGTGAGTAGCATTAACAAAGGGGATAAAGGTGAGATGAGCATCATAGTAGTTTACATAAAGTCCCAGTGGCAAGTGAAGATTCATACACATTTTTTCTTTTTCGATCCTATTTTCTGGGTACTTGCACTATCATGTACGAAACGAACACACAGTATCCTTTTAGAGGAACAGTAATATAGCTCTTTGTTATATTGTGCGCGATACAATATCAATGACATTATTAGTTAGGATAACAGCTTGGAACTGTATAACATACCACTATTCATATCCAATTGACCCCAGTAAATCCCGGATCACATCATGTGTCATGCTTTCAGCAGCAGATAATCTGGCATTCAAAGCAAATATCTGCACCACACGAAAAAGGACAAACATAATCAATTTGTAGTAGAAGAACGTGTATAACAGCTCGTAGGAACCAAGTAGGACATTAAAGGCCTACCTTTTTTTGTCAACTGAAGGATTCAAGCTCTTCCATGTGCACCCTTGCAGCCGTAAGGTCCTCATCCTTCTCAGATTTTATCTGCTGTGCCAAGCCCAAACCAGTGCATTTAAATGGGAAACAGAGCCTCTAGGCTTTGTGGCATGTTTCTCTGACTTGCTTGATGAAGAACTTGTGGCTGAAAGATTAAGCACTGCAGAGAAAGAACATAAAGAGGACGTGCAGGTTTTTGGTTGAATTTTGGAGTGGGCCAAATGTGGTGCAGGGGTATGAGGCCGTTGGGTTGTGGGTGTCCAGTTGGTAGTGGTCCAATAATTTCGAGTGCAGGATCTGAGGACGAACTTTTGTTTTGAGAGGCAAGAGTAATAGGTCAGAAATGGAAAATTTTACTCATAAAAAATAACTTGGCTTGACAAAAAAATTCAGGTGGTGGAAATGTCTTTAGCATCTATACCCTTGATAATTCAAAGATTACCCTAAAAACACACATATTTGGTAGAACATAACGTAGTTTATTATTAATGTAGGGTCACAAGTATGGAAAACATGTACAGCCAAAGGTTTTCAAAATGGTATAATCTGGGTCTTTGCGGAACAATTTGTGAAAAGGAGTATCATAATTCAAAACTTTAGAAGGAAGGCAGAGTTAAGTAAGTATACTGCAATGTGAAAGGACAAGTATCTACTGTTTATTTATTATTTCCTCCATTCTTCTATAGTCTTTCTGGAAAGAATCAATCTGTTGAGCCAAGACGGAAACTCATTCAAATATAAGAGTAAGAGTTGCCAAATATACAAACCTATTTAGAAAAACAGTCACTGCATCGATAATCACAGAAAGAGACAATGCCATTCTAGGACAAAAAGGAACAACAGGAGATTGATTATAAAGTAAAGATAGTATTACAAAAATATCAAGACTCATCTGCTCTTTGTGGATCCAGGTATGTATCTTGAAGAGAAAAGCCTTGAGTTGGTAGAGAAGTCTTCTGGCTTACCGAACACAATGGCCAATAATTTATAGAAGCTACAAATTATTATCATTATCACTGTAATCAGAAGCATTTTCATTAGTATCAGACCCACTACCAAAGTTGACGTTTTCGGTTTCAACCATGCTGTTATCTGAGATTTGGCCACCTTTTAGAGCATACTTCAAGTCATCTAGAATATAAGGTTCTACTAATTTCCAGAACCAGGTAGAACTACTTCCCAGAAAACCTATCCAAAACACTCTCCCTTTCCTCTTCACCTTGCAATCAAGGGACTTTGCCCTTAAGGATTTGACAATCTTCTCAACACCCTCTTCACTACCCTTTATCTTCAACAATATGTCTCCTGATGAAGTACTGTGGCCCCCGTACATGTACCAGTATGCAAGCGCACATGGTGACAACCATCGATGGATTAGCTTTGGTATCATTCTTCGGCCTTTCGGCCAAAACTGCTCCGCATAGAAAGCAAAATACGAATGTGAGATGGTTGAGAACTTATATGGTATGTCCTCCGTACTCTCACTGGACTTGCAAGAAGGATGTAGCCACTCATGGTATTGATCAAATATATGCCTCTTTAACAAAGAATGTGTGCTAGAACTCTCACTGAACTCGAACCGGATCATGTGATTTTTCCAGTCTTCATCGGATTCGATCTGCAAACCACCCAACAAAAGACCTACTAGAATCTCTCGTTGTTCTTTGCTCAGCTTCAGGCTTACAGGTTTCTTGACTACCTTTCTGCTCAAGCTCAAGATATAATCAATCTTTTCCATCAATGGTGGTTCAACGTCATACTTCTTCTGGCACATCAGGTCAAATATGTTTTCTGCCTTGACATAATCTCCAGATGACAGGTATCCACTTAATATGGTGTTGCAGGACCGAGCGTTAACACCGATTGCCGCATCACTCTGCATTAGGCCAAAGATCTCCTCAGCTTTAGCAAGATTACCAACTTTCACCAAAGAATCCAAGTATATAGAACAAATAGTACGGCTGGGTCGGCATCTCTCAAGGCACTGGGAGAAGGCTGATTCCAGTTTGTCATGTAAGCCTAAGTTGAAGTACATGTTCATTAGATCAATATAAGACGGCATGAAATTCTTCAAACCAGTGTTGATGAATTCTGTCATGAGGGACTCGACACGTTCAACTTCTTGAGCCTTACATAAGACCTCTATGACTTTATGATATGCGACAGCGTTGGACGAACCCAACTGCTCTTGCATCTCCCTGAATATCTCCAGGGATCTCAAAGGCACTCCAGCCTTTGAATAGGCTTCCATTTTATAAACATATGCCTGAGGTGGGAGACCAACTTCAAGATCGCAAAGTCTGAGCCAAGTACTTTCTGCTCCCTCCACATCCCCCTCTTTTGAGCAAGCTCTCAAGAGAGACACAAGCACATCTCTGCCCTCCTCAATTCCAGCCTGTTGCATTTCTTTTCTTAACAATGCCATCCTTTCTTTATCTATTGTATCCTGATAGCTATGTAGCCAAATTAATCCACTATAAATATCCTTGTGAATTTCGAGTCCAGTTGTTACCAAATTATGAAAAATAAACTCAGCCTGTTTAAGGTAGTGTTTCGAAGAGGTTCCGGGTTGGCTGACAAGGGCTTTGAAGAGAGAATTGTGCAAGTGAAGCCGGGGCTGATAACCTCCTAGCTGAATCATACGATTGTAAATGCCACATGCTTCCTCCAAGCAACCTTGAACCGGGGCACTAAGATATGCAACAACCAATATATGAAATGTAGATTCACTAGGAACACGCCCCTGATTAATTATATCATCAAATATATCCCTACATTTCGAGAATTTTCGCTCTTTACCCATGTAATCCGCTAACTTAGTAGCAAGAGCAAAATCAAAACGATACCAGTGTTGTTGCATCATCCATTTGTAAACCTACAGACATTTTCAATAAACTTTACTAAGTCCGCCATATGCTCATATAAATATTAATTTTACAAAGGTTCGTAACGACATTGCTAAAATCACAGTCAAAGTTCAATCAAAGCACACACATTGCAAATATCAACCAACTGAAAGCGCACATAAAGACTGAAACTTTAGTTAGTTTACCCGAAACCCGACATCATTTTCCCGAATCCGCATACAATGCACGGCAACATAAGTGGCATCTTCTTGCCTTATCCACTTCTTCTGCGCATTGAGTATACGACTCAAGGTACCGGCCTTATGCGCCGGCAGTTCCTTACACAGCCACGCCAGCTTCGACCTCCGCCACTGCTCCGGGAGCTCCTCCAGCTCTGGAACCTCAAGCTTCGGCGCCCCCAGGTGCTTCAAGTCGGCGGAACCAAAGCAATTCTCAAAATCGAAAACCTCGCTCTGCGCGACATTGCTCAAATCCCAATTCTCCTCTGGGTCCGAGGCCTTGCCTGCAAGGTGTTCAACGGAAGTACTGGAAGAGGGAAGGGCGTGGAACCGGAAGGGTTTGGTGGTGGAGAGCGGAAAACTGGACATGGGCCTGGAGAATGGATGGGTATGAGGGTGGTGGTGTTGGTTGTGAGAGAGACAGAGAGTGAGGGAACGGAGGAGAGAGAGAGGAGGGAAGAGTGAAGAGCGCATGGAGAGGAGATTAGGGTTAGAGAAACAGAGAGTGGAGAAGAAGGAGGAGGAGTGGGTTAGAGAGAGAGTGGAGGGTGAGAGCTCTGGAGCTCTGCGCAGAAGCATGGCTTGTTTCTGATAGAGTTCTTGGAGCTGGGGATTTTGAGTTTCAGAGGGTTTTATTTCTGTAATTAAATTGGAAATAAAGGGGCCCAGTATTGGGCTTCACTTGTACATAAAGCCCACCATTCCCAACTTCACCAATTTTACTTGGGTTAATTTCACTTTTCACCGTCAAGTACAAAAATAAGAGTACCGCTTTTGTCATGTAAATTAATAGTTCAATTGGATCAACTCTAACCCTTGGAGTAAGTCTCAAAATTTCCTTTTATTCCTTCCATTTCATTTCAACCCTTGTGCTAAAATGGTGTTAAGTGTTAGAACTAAAAAAAAAAACCAAATTCCGGCCAAGATTTAGGCCAAAGATAGTGATGGAGCCCACAAGTTAGAGTGAAAACAGGCGTTTGAAGCCCATCGCCAGGCCTGGACGCTTGCACGCCCGCCACGTGCCAAGCCCAGCAAACAAAACTGCCCCACCCGCGTGGGCTTGTCGCCCACTTGTCTCCTTACATTGGTGAGCCTAACGGCTCTTTTTCTGATCGTGCGGCCAAATTCATTTGGGCTATTGGTTGATCCAATGATCCACATTCAAACTTTTTTTTTTAGTTTTATAGTTATATGTTTATTGAATCCAACGGTTGAGATCGAATATAATCAAATCTAACAGCCCAAATTTAAATCCAATGGCTAAAATAATTATAAAAAAAAATTATTTAACTCAAAATTCACCCAAAAACTCTATAAATACCTATGTTCAAACATCCCCACAAAACTTACTTTTCTCCTACAATTCTTCCAATTTTTCTTTCTACCATCTTCCAAACCCATGTGTTTTATGTTTATACATCTCTATCATGTGTTTCATTTCTTCCATAGTGTTTCATGAGTTTCATGTATCGGTTTAGTGATTTTTCAATGTTTATTGGAATTTAAATATGTTTAGGTTAAAATGTTCATAAAATTAATTTATGATAGTCCACATAATTTTTTTTTTTAAATAGCCTAAATTCATTCTTTAATAATCTGGAGGGTAAAAAGAAAAGTTGTTTCTGGGTTAAAACCTAAATTTTTTGGGCTAAAAATTTTAGGTTTTAACCCAAGGGTTAGAGATGGTCTTATAGTTGTTATTAATATCTAGGAGAACAAAAATTTAATTTTAATTTTAATTTTTGGTGAGCAATGAAGAATTATCATTTATACTTGATATATGTTTTGTTTCGAGTTAGAACTTCACCTTTACTTACCAAGAGCATAAAATATAATATGCTTATGATAGGAGCATATTTGTGCGACTTTATTATCTTATTTATTTGTATTTTACTTAGTTAATCTCCGTTTGTTATAGTATTTTATGTTATTTTCGTTTTATTGTACGTTCAGTTGGTAAAGTTGAAAATTGGAGATTAAAGAGCAAATAGAAGCAGTGTTGGACTTGGATTGGATAGCTAGCATGCGCAGACCGCGCAAGGGCTGTATGTTTTGGAGTTTAAATGGTGTTAAACATGTGCCAAAATTTGGAGGAATTGAAGTTGGGGCTTGAAAGACAAGAAGTTGCATGAGGAGGAACGCTACCAAGAGATAAGCAGTTGTTGTGCACTTTATCATATCATATCTCCAACTGAATGAAAGAGTCCTAATGAGCTTTAAACACTCTTCAATTGATTTACTAGGCCTCGTTTGGCAGTTCGGACTATACTGACTATTTTAGTCGGATATGATAAATAGTCACTAGATAGTACTGACTAAATTAGTCAGGCCACTACTACAAAATTGGCTTAACGTGCCGAAGAGTGGTGGCAGTTTTATACTATTATTATCGGATAAAATATTCCGACGACATGTTTAAATAATGTCGGATAACAAAGTAGTACTGTCGCTTATATCCAACATTAGTTCGCTACTTTCCGACAAGAATAATGAAGCGGGCCCTTAACTCTACCAGATTTAGTTTTTTAAATATCTTTAACCAATTCTAGCGGTTACATCAGACATGAGTAAGTAATGTGTCAAATTATATTATATTATTTTCAAAATTTTATATTAACTCTAGCGGTTATATCCAACACAAATATTTTGGCATTTTTTATACTAACTCTGGTGGCTATATCCGATGCAAATTGTCACAGCCCGTCCTGAAATTTCTTTTATCGTGGATGTGAAATGACAAAATTGCCCTTAACGGTTGCTAAGGGACTTAAAGAATTTTGGGATTATGGTTTATTTTGGGTGGACCACACACACACACACGGGACATACCTCACCCTGTGCTCTCTCTCTCTCCTCCCTCTCAGTTCACTCTCTCTCTCTCCCTTCGAACTGTACGGACACACTCACCCGCAAACAACCAGGCACGGATCGAATGTTTCGAGGGCATCATTGTGTTCGTAAGGACCTTATGAACACATCCATACCTATTTCAGTTAAGAAACCTTTCGATTTCACGTTGAAAACTCAAGGTCCGAATTGAGCATTGTTCACGAACTTTGTAATGGTTGGTTTTTAGGACAGTCCAAGATCACTGTGAGCTCTAGGAGGTTCCCACGAAGCTCGGGGACGTTCGTTTGGAAATTTTGGACGTCGGGAAACTCTAGTTCGAAGGTGGCCGATTTTGGTGAAATTATCCTAACGAGTTCTCGAAGGATTTGGAAGTTTTAAAAGGTATAGCCTTCTTCCTCTCGAAATTTGTGAAGTTTTGGTGAAAATTTCGTGAAAAACGATGCAAAATCGAGCGAGAAAATGGTGATTGTAGGTTACCCAGTTTTCTGACGCCGGCAAGATTTTCCGGCGTCTGGAGGTAAGGGATGACGCGCGTGAGGGCGTGTAGGTCTGTGCCCCTCCCGGCGCGTGCGGCATTGAAATTTTTTTCTAAAAATACCTCGAAGTTCGTGACGTCGAGTAAGTCACTATGGTATATTCATATACCCAAATTGAGCATCGTATGAGAAGTTATTACGTATTGTTGGTTATGTGCTTTAAATAACGCTTTTTATAGTTGTTTCGCATATAGGTGAGACCTATCCCGAGGACGAGCGCGTTCAAAGGCGTCACGGGGGTTACGATCCTTCGACATACCAGTGAGTGGGCAGTTCTTTTCTATTTATACCTATATACTACTAATTTTTCCCAGAAATTGAATATAAATGAAAGTATGTTTTAAAATCTCGTGCATGCATATTATATGAAATATATGAGTTAGTAATTGATGCATATGTGTGAAATTGTGCTGTGGACGCACATGTGAATATCAGGTGAGTTTTATGTTGTTCATATGGTTTATTGATGATGTGAATTGTGTTGAGAGCTCATAACCTGCACCCTTGGTGTTAGTGCTTATATTATTCACCCCGCACCACACGCTCACCTTGGATCCAAGTAGGTGCATGTCGTACAGATCACTAGAGGTGGTTCCGACATGTCGTACAGACCATTAGAGGTGGTTCCAACTTGTAGGTGACTTTAGATTATTATACAGTTGTTGATGAGAAAAGCACTAGAGCGTATTCTTACACTATTCTTATCGTACATACTACTTCAGGTAGTTCCGATTTATGTGCAGAGTAATGACGTACAGGTCACAGTGGTGACTCCGGTTGGGTTGGATATTGAGCTATAGAATTAACCTTACAGGACAGCTGTAGGGTCTCCGGTTAATTCATTATTTCACCTGTTATATTGATGCATCCTTATCATGTTTTGAATCATAGCATGGCATATTCTTGAAAAGCGTTAAAGACTTGTGATTTGAGTTTTGCTGTGATATATGGTTATATATATACTATTTTTCTGAGAAAGTATAGAGGTTTTACAGTGAGGGGTTAGAAGTGTTGTTAAATGAAATATTTTCAAAAAGCTTTGTTTTACTGACCCACTCAATCTTGTTTTGCGCCCCTCCAGGTTCTAGTTAGCAGTGTTGGAGGCTCACGAGGATTCCCACGACATTCTGACAGACTACTTAAATGTAGGACTCATCTTCGGGTGTTGTAACTTAGTAATGGTCCTACTTGACTGCACTTAGTACTTATGCTCTGAATATGTGTGTTTCACACTTAAACTCACTCTAGCATGTTAGTTGGATATTATTGCTAGTAGTTGGTTTTTATTCCTTCGTATTTCTTTTATCTTTTGCTTCCGCATCGCACTTTTGGTTACGTCACGCCCACGTGACGGCCAGCACGCCTTGATTCTAGGATCGGGGTGTGTCACAAATACTTTCAAATTTTTTATACTACCTCTATCGGATTGTATTATATTATTTTCAAATATTTTATAAATATTTATGTTTCGTTAATCACATTCAAAGGCAACAACAGAAGCACATCCCCTTCCAACCTAAGATCCAGATGTCTCATACAAAAGCACTTCACCATCAGGTTGGGAAGATGGTCAATTAAATATATTCGTTAAACTTAACATGTTTAATATAACATAAATATTTATTTATGTTTTTTTTTTGTTAAATATTTATTTATGTTAAATTAATATATTTTTTTTTTGCTATAATTGGTATGAAGATGTACAAAACTTGAATTTAATGACTAATCACGATTAGATAAGCATAATTTTGATAATCTTTGGTTTTTTTAGTTTGTTTTTACTATACTTATATTTTTTTTTCAAGGTCATGTTTAAATGATCGGAAGTAATTGTTTATTCCCCAAAAAAATAAAAATAAAAACTGCGTAATTTTAATTGATAAGTAGCCACTAGTGTAAATATTTTAAATTGAAGATCAACTTTGTTCATTGTATTCTTATAGGGTCAAGGAGTGTACCATAAAAAATCATCAAAATCAGAACTAAATTTACCGTTAAATCATGATTTTATTGTTTATAGCCGTTGGAATTTGAGTCCTGTTACCTAATTTCTTAATGTTTTTTTTTGTTGCAATTTTTTACATATGTTATCTCGAAGTATATACAAACATGTTTGACGGTTGGATCGTTGAAACTAGTTTCGTAGAATGCATATCCCATCAAATTAATAGATTTAACAAACACTTATAAGTTTATTTTAGGGAAGTGTTATTGGCACTCTAAAAA